CTGCCCCATATATATATATATTTTTTCACATATTCAACAGCTTCACACAGACCCCAAAAAATTATTAAACCCCCACCCCTCATCACCCCAATGAAAAAAAAAAGTGTTTTTTTTTTTTTCCTGCAGATGGACTCCCCACGACACCCGACACCCACCCACCCGAAATCCGCGGTCGACCCCCCCCGTAAACACCGCGAACGGTACGGGCTCCCGGGGGTCCGTACGTACGGTCGTACGGAAGTATGTACGACCCGTATACGTACGGGCGTATACACAGCCTTTAGCCATGGGAAGAGATGTGTGATTTCATTCCACCATCCACCCAGGAATGATTCCCTGGGAGGTCGCTGCAGCGAAAGGAGAAAGGAGGAATAAGAGGAAGGGTAAATGAAGAAAATGGGGAGGGGGACGGAAAACAAGAAAGGAAAACCAAAAATTGGGTAGTGATTTCTGAAGGGAAAGAAAAAGGGAAGGGGAGTAGGGGATGGTGTTCCGGGGCAAGATGAGAAATCCCAAGCGCATATTGGAGGTTCCTCATAGGGCGGGAGTGACGAAGCAGGTCTTGTCAAGAGGGTTGGTGGAGAAAGGGGAAGGAACGAAGAAGGGGGGAACGGGGAGATTGTTCGGAGAGAGGGGGTGAGGACAGAACCACAAACGAAGACAACGAAAGATCGTTAAAATAAACCCCCGCCAGCTATCCCCAGGACCACGTTGTTTATCACCACAGAATTCCCAGTTTTCAGCCTATTTCGACAATCTCCAGCCATGCCCTCACCAGCGCTCAGACGACCTCGGCGTACCTCATAGCTACCACCATTACCCCTTTTCCACGCGGGGGCGTGTAAAGAACACCAGGTAGAGGCTTCACAGTGTGGTTGGGAGGGGCACCCCACAACAGTGATCGAGGAAACTCGTCCTCATGAGTTTGTAGCATGTGTGTGTCACATGAGTTTCGTACGAGCACGACACGTCATACCCGCACTACTCCGACTGAATATGTCGGCACACTGTGAGCAGTATATAAAAAGTGCGGGAGGCGATTTTCCACAGCAACAGGGAAAAACCATTCGTCTATCCATTTGTAGTGAGGGTGAAAACGGGGCTATTTTTCAAGTCGAAGTTTTGCCAATCAAGCGAAAGTGGCGAAACGAAGTGAGGGGGGTGAGGGTGTTTCCACGAAGGCATCACAAGCATTTCCAGACCTTTTACATTTCTCACAAGCAGCCTACTACGCACGCATATTTCCATAATGCATACTTCAATATGTCATAGAGAAAAAAATAGAAAGAAAATAGAGATATCTTCAAAAAGCACGATATCATTTCACGCTGGTGAAATCGTCATTAGCGATAAAAAGAGCCGATATCATTCGGAAAAAAGAAAAGAAGAAAAAAAAAAAGGAAAAAAAAA